GCCCGGCCACGGGTTTGTATAAAGTGGAAGTGGGATCGGCCAAAACGTCGTACAAGGGTCTTTCCAGAGGAGAAACAAGTTTAAGCCCCTTCCTTTCTCAAAGCCCCTTTCCCTTTATACAACAAACGCCGAGAGAATATTTCTTCCGCGCCCGATGGCGACTCACTTCGTCCCGGGAAATTGCAAGGATTTCTTTTCCCTAGAAAGTGGCCCGAATATGAAAAGAAATACGATACCTTGGCCATTTGTAGTTTTCAAGAATAAATTGTTTAGGCTTAAAATAAGAAACAGCCTCACATTTTCAAGAATAAAAAATATATAGGATCCATAAGGAAAAAACCTTATCTTTATTTTTAGATCTGGCCCTTTAAATATCAATGTGAATAAAGAGTGCAATATAAGAAGGCCAAATAAACTAAATAAAACGAAAGAGTCGTATTATTTGTAATTCTCGTAATTGAGGCCACATTGATGGAGCGGTTCAGAATCTCAAGTCCAATTTCCTTTTCCAATTTTTTAAAGTTTTCTTAGCACAAAGTTGACCTTAAATGAATAGAATGGTCCATGTTGTTTTGAGGAACTGATGAGTTTATTTTTAATTAAAATAGATATCTACAGGATTTAATGAAAATAATTTAAAAAATAAATCCCTTAAAGCTATTAATTAAAATTGTCATTATTAAAATCGAGTATGCCGAAAATATACCTGCGTTCGGATCAATGGCCATAAAAACATCTTTCTAAAACTTATCGTCGGTGATCATCGCTGTGTCGACGTATGGTCACGCTATCTTTATATACGGCGTTCATTGACCACGAAGTGTGTTACGAATTCAGCGGTGCCTCGATCGAAAAACATCGACGACAATGTTGACATGCAAATATTTTTCTCCAGTAGTGTAATTCATTGGTATGTTTTATTGATCTTGTGAAAAGTAGTGTTACTTAAATAAATAGATAATCATCTACGTGAAGGAAACTACTAGGCACGTCAATACAATGGAATATAATGAAAAATGTAATTTATTCGAGATATAATGTGATTTATATCATTTTCCATCAAATGAACGTTTTTACTTTCAAACTAATGTTTTTTAATTTAGAATTAATCTTTTTACATATTAAATTACCCGTTTTTCAAATCATGGAAAGACAAGCAAATCCAAAAAAGGACTGTATTACTACATCAATAATGTTGACTCAAATACTTCTAAGATGAAATACATATTTTTTATTTCAAATTTTTGTTTTACTCTGATGTACCATATTTGCCTTCTAATGGTTTAAGTTTTATATTGTATGCATGTGAAATATTGTTGGCTGTGTTTAAAACAAATGATTTATATTTCAAAATATGTCCAGATTAACGGTTATTTTGCCATTTTTGTCGATTTGGAATAAGACTGCCAAGAGCACTATTGGTTCAAGCTAAAAGAGATAGTAGTAAGGTAATATTGTTCTAAAACTACAAAACAGTAATAAGATTGTTAATCTTAAAAAAAGTTGTTGTTATACCTACATATTATTCTAGCATGTCAAATTAGGAAGTTATTTCCTTACCCCCTAGTTTAAAGATTCAGTAACTCCAGAACATCAACTTATCGGTTTATTAACATTAACGTTTTTTGTTCTCGTTACAAATAAATGAGTGATGTGTGCGATTTTTTCAAATATACACTGAAATTATGAAAAATTCGTTTAGAGTCAAATAGTGTCGTAGAAAAGACAAAAGTGATTTTCTTTTCATTTTCCCAATGCAAAAACTAAAGAGCTATATAATCTCCGGCAATAATGAACATGTAAATATGTACACATGTGTATTCAGTGATACCGGGTAAGTTAAATAAAGCAGCGAATCATTTCATTAGAAAAAGTAATGGGCAATCGCACACATTGAGAAAGTATCTAAAGTAAAAAACAAAACAAAAAAGAAATAAAACCGGTTACTACCTCTAATCATTATACCAAGCAGCAACAACTAATACAATCATTTTTACTGTTCTATGTAGTATGTGCGATTTTTACAAGCAAGAAGACCTTACACCTACATATTTTTCTAGTATGTCAAATTTAAACAATTAGGAAGTCATTACCCTTACCCCCTATTTAAAAGATTCAGTATCTCCATAACATCAACTGATCGGTTCATTAACATGTTCTAATTATATACAAATTAGTGATGTGTACAATTTTTTCAAAGGTCCTACATCATAAATAAGTAAATTGTTAACTCAACCTTAGCCATGTATGGCCTACGGGTTGACAAGCAGTACCGCATGAAAAGATGAGATAGATATAATATGTAAACGTTAAGATGGGTAAAGGCGCGTTCAGAACAACCCCGCTGAAGAGTTCCACATGGAAGCAGGAGACCTTCTGCTTTAAGAGGGAAGAGATAATTTTAAAATAGTATGCGAGCACATGGGAAAGGCAAACCATTTCGTACATGAAATACTTTAACTCGGTCCAAGGAAGTCTCAGTGGCTGGAGAAATCGAATTGAGCCGGGTGGAACCGGAAGGATGCCTTACGGTGGGATTATACAACAAAATCGACACACCACCTACAAGAGCGAGTTCCACGTTCTAATGTCGAAGTACTCGGATGCCAAACTCATCATCACAGATGGGTCAAAGATGCCAGAGGGTGTGGGCTGCGCTGTATACATTGAAGGGCGGGTCGAAGGGATGACCCGTCCTCTACAGCGCGCGTGAATACGCAGAATTGAATGTCATATCCCTCCCTTGATCGTATACATCGAAAACAGAAAAACCCAACACAATACGCATGGATTCCTTCAGTGCGGTCTCCTAACTCAGGGGGAAAGGTTTCGAGGATCCACTAATGAATAAAATATATGAACAATTAAAAGTGATCGATGCTGATGGGTAAAAGGTCGTGCTGGTCTTCAGATAGCCGGGAAGGAACAAGAAGTCGAAGTGGCTAAAGACACAGCGTCAGCGCACGGACCAATTCATCTTGTCAGCCCAGCAGACGTGGTAAGATTAATGAAAAAGAATAATGCAAAAATCACCGGACTTCTGCCAAATTACGCAGATAAAGAGATGGTCACTCGTCAACGCTTGCCGGATAGAGAAAGAAAAGTATAGCCTTACCAGGTTACGCAGAGGTCATACTAGGTTTTACCTCACCCCGAAGTATATCGAGTACTCTAGGGTAAGAGTGTGATGTCTAAAGTAAAAATAATTTTTTAGCACGAATGGAGGGTTTAAATCAGCCCCGAGGAATATCAAGTTCTCTGGGGAGAGAATGTGACCAGACTCGTCTTGTTTTGGGGGGTGACTGGATATCGACGTCGTAGGAATATCCAGTACCACGACGCCGGACGTGCTATCTCTCTGGGGGGCCTTGGCACGTTTTTCGGGGTGTTGTCTGCCGGCTCTTCGCCGTGGCATTGCGTATCCTCTACGTACTCTCCGGATGTTAACCCACGAATAGGTCTCTCGTCGCCAGCGGTGTTTCTGGGGGGGGGGGAGCGTGAACATTTTTGTGTTTTTGGTTTTTCTTGTTTTTTAATAGTCTTTCGACAACCTGATGTACCTTCGAGACGTTATCAAGATCAGACAACAGGAGACAAAATATGACAGTCAGTGACAAAGATGCTCAAAAAAAAATTTGTTTAAACCGAAGAGGGCCGGCGAAGACCACTTGATGTTTGGCGGTCCTTAAATAATACAAACATTCATACATAGACATTAACTTCTTTTATTGGCACTTGTATAAATCATATACTCAATAATTAACAAAATCATGTTTGATTTTAGTTTCGTTTTATATAAAATGAATATCCAGGTTAATCAGTCATTTTAAACAGTAGTTCGTACGTTGATTTATTTATTCATAAAATATATAGGGGATTCTTTAGTCAAGATGGCAAGCTTGTCCAACGATAGGTTTATTTCTGACACATGTATGTTATACATGCTTCTTCTTGGGCTAGTTTGTAGTATATTACATTTAATTCAATGTGTGAATCTTTTATTTTCTTTATAACGTGAGTGTTTCATTGTTCATTTTAATGTGTGGTGATTAGTGACCGTTAGTCGATGATTATTCGGAAATAGTGAGATGCGGTCAGGTGTGATGTAGATTTCAGAAAAACATTTTCTTTACCGTGCCAACGTTTCGATCTTTATTGAGCTCATCTTCAGGGCTCAAGTGTTTGTTTTCTGCGTAATTGTGACTTTCTTGCGTGTCGGGGCACTCTCAACACGACACGCAAGAATGGCATAATTACGCAGAAAACAAATACTTTGAGCCCTGAAGATGATCTCAATAAAGATCGAAACGTTGGCACGATAAAGAAAATGTTTTTCTGAAACCGCATCTCATGATTTCCGAATAGTTCATTTTAATCATATTTCATTTGTGTAAAATGCTTATTGAAAGATTATGTACGTCTAACCAGACCCTCTTGTAAATTATAACATTGTATAGAACCTTGAGTAAATAAAAATCTAATTACTTCAAATATGTCAAAAAATGAGCTGGGAATACAGAAAAGCTGCTGTAAATTTAGAAATAGTAATATGCAAAGTAGATTTTTATACAAATCGACTCCAAATAGTTTGTCGATATTTGTAAGGGTACTGGGAGCAATCTGAAAGGACAAAAGTCGCCCCCGACGTGGTAAGCGGCGTGGCATTTTCTTCACGGATTGCGTCTCTCCCACGTGACACAGGGCTCCTCTTTTTAGCCCGTGGGACAGGGAAACAGGGGAAGGAAGAAATGTGGGGTAGGACTCCCCGTGTAACTAATGGGGTAGCTCTCCTTCAGGCTTAGTGTCACCTCTGTGCTAGGGGCAAATTACCTGTTTGTCGCAAACACCATCAGCTTAAACTCCCGGGAGTTGAACTCGGAGAACTTCTTCACCTTAAACAATTCTCCCTTTTTTTAACCGGCAACCGCTTAACTTATTTTTTCATTTGAGTTTCGTTGTCCACTTTTATAAAGCCTGACGTTTTTTTTTTTCTGTTGCAGAATCGCTGAGAGAGTACTTTTGCAAGTACGGGGAGATAACGGAGGTGATGGTCATGAAGGACCCGACCACTCGCAGATCGAGGTGAGTTCACTTGATTTTACAACAAAGCCTAGGCGCACTTTCCCCCCCCTTTCCTTTTCGCTTTGTTGTTTAAATGTTCAATTGAAATTTCCAATCGCCGGTTTGGGAACAACGCCGGTTTTCGACGTGCGCCCGGCTGCCGTCTCGAACAGATTCACGTCACCGGATCGATAAACGTTATCTTAACGATAATTCGGTAGGGAGTATAAATTGAATTACCGGCTGGGCCGGGGCCGTTTTGGTTAATCGAATTGTTAACTTAACATCAAACGTTTATTCTTAAACAAATTACCGAAACTAAGGTTAATTCTTTTGAGCAATGACGGCCGCCTCTATAGTTTTTAAGCCGGCTTCAATTTTTAATTTTTATAAAAGGATTTACCCTCCTTCTTTTAAAATTATAGGCGCTAGTCTGATTCCCTTTGAAATAAAATTATTACCGCAGAGATTACCTCGAGAAAGAGAGCGAGCGAGAAGGAGAAAAAGAGAGCTTTCTTACCAAGTAGAAAAAGATTAAGGGTCCATTAGCCCAATTAAATTATAATATCGTTAAAAGATTTATACTCTTTTTTACAACCTGATTATAATTCTTTCAAGATATTATTCTTAAATCGAGGCATACATCATATACATGCCATCAAAAGACCATCCATTAAATTTTTATGCTAGGCTGCGCCAAAATGACTATTGAAAACACTATTTTACCTTTTTTACTATAAAATTTGCATTAAAATATAATTAAATTAAAAATTAAGTATTTTTTCCGACCAAAATCTCAAATGCAATTAGGTAATTTTTTAAATTAAATTGCTTTGCGTTTTGATTTTCGGCGTACTTTGTTTCACGATCAGTACTGTAAGTAATACAACAGGAAAACATCAAGGAAATTGTCCAGTCACAAAGTATTTTTTCTTTTGGAACATTTTGCTGAAAGGATCATTGAAGGTGCGACTATTATTTTCTAAACGTTTTGGTTTCACATTCCAGCTCAGCCTATGTAATTTTAAGTGTGTAAAAATTGTACATTAGATACAATACAGTTCGTGGTCCGATTGACCAATTAACATTTTTCAATTAATTAATATTTATGAAAGGTATTGGTTGAGACAAAAAATTCAGCGTCACGAGCGTGATTCGAACCCACGGCCTTCGGCTAGATGCACCGCTACTCTACCACTTGAGCTATCGTGACCTCGATCCACTCGGACACTAACCTCCCATCTCAACCTCACCTCTCGAATTTTCCCTACTTTTGCCATTTTTCAAATGTGTAATCTATTTGATTCTCGGCGACAAATGAAATGGCCACGTGAGAAAAAATTCAAAAGGTGGGGTTGAGATGGGAGGTTGGTGTCCGAGCGGATCGAGGTCTCGATAGCTCAAGTGGTAGAGTAGCGGCGTATGTAGCCGAAGGTCGTAGGTTCGAATCCAGCTCGTGACGCTGACTTTTTTGTCTCAACCGATACCTTTCATAAATAATAATTAATTGAAAAGTTGTACATTAGGTTAACCTATCGTCCACGACACCCCACGGTAAAGTAACAGGATTTTACAGCTTTATATCCAATACGAGAGGGAGCAGAATGATCCTACTTGGTGGATGCGGTTACAAAATTAAGCCATTCTTTATGATAGGAATTGCATTTTGTGTACTTAACTAATCAGGTTGTAACCATGATAAGTCTTATCAATAATGTATAGTTGATGTTTTTTCCATTGATTTTAAAGTTTTCGAACAGTGTTTTGTGTATCGGATGAAGCCTACTAGTCGGTCCGGTATAATGTAGACCTAAATTTATTCTATCAGTTCTTTCTGTTTCAAATCACCTTTTCCCGCTTCCAATATCAACGTGATCAAATAAGTCCTACCGATCTCCGGCGGCTATTAATGGTCTTCTTCAGTTTCGGCGACGGCTACCGTTTGAACCGCTCTCATAATTGGTAAAATCGTGGGTGTAGGATCGGCCCGAAAGGAAGAGGGGAGGGGCCGGTTGATTGATTTTATTGCTGGAACGGCTAATAGCCGGCCAGAGGCCGACAAAATTGCCACTTAGTATAATCGCCATGTACACACGTAACCACCATTAGGAGTCTATTCAATCCCCTGACACTCGGCCACCCCGCCGCACTCTCCTCGTCCCGAATTTCAATAATCGAATCCGGTTTTCACCGAATTAAACCGGCCGAATAGATGAACGGCTTCTATTGTCGTCCATTGTATTTATAGAGCCCATTCACAACTCGACCCATGCGTTCTAATTTGTCATACTAAATTTAGGCAGCTCGATATTACAGAAGGGAACATCGGACAAGCGGCTCACTGTGCCCATTTTAAAATACAACACGATTAGAAACCGTTTTATTTTAAGTCTTACGTGTTGTCCAAAAAGAAATAAGTTTCGCGTTACTCAGCTGGGTCGAAGCCCAGTGTATGTATTCAAAATAGAAACGCCCATTTATCTTTACTTTTGACGAATGCAAATCAACAGTTCAATTTAAAATTAACGTTTTCTATTTCCGATTATTTTTTCTCGAGTTTCGTAACTCAACTTTACTGAACGTTCTGATCACATGATCGAATCTAAAAAAAATTGTATGCCTGATGATGAGATTTTCCATAAACATATCTCAATATTCAGTCATTTCATGAGGGCTTTTTTTCGTAAACGTGTTTTGATGAATCCCACAGCATAAGCAAAGAAGTTAGACAGAACCCAGGATCATGTAATCTACATAATCTATGAAATATTTCCACAAATATATCTCAATATTCAGTCATTTCATGAGGCTTGTTTTTATAAGCGTGTTTGATGAAAAAACTAGCATGAGAAAGTAAAGAGGTTAAACAGAACCTGGTATCATAGGATCTACTTGAGTTATGAAATATTTCCATAAATCTCAACATTCAGTTATTTCATGAGGGCTTTTTTTCATAAACGTGTTTTCATGAATCCAACAGCATGAGAAGCAAAGAAGTTAAACAGAACCAAGGATCATGTAATAACCTAATCTATGAAATATTTCCATAAACGTGTGTCCATTAGTGACCGTTAGTCGATAATTATTCAGAAATCGTGAGATGCGGTCTGGTGTGATGTAGGTTTCAGAAAAACATTTTCTCTGTCGTGCCAACGTTTCGATCTTTGTTGAGATCATCTTCAGGGCCTGGGATTTACAAACATTGTTTAAATTTAACAAATACATGTAGGATGTGGAAAAAGGGGAATTTATACAATGCAAAATATATTGTTTATATTCAATCAAAGTATTTCTATTTGATATTTCAAAATCCAACATAAAACAGCAATATCTCACTGGCACTCTCAACACGACACGCAAGAATGCATAATTACACACAATGATTGAATATTAAAAAAAAATTGTCATTGTCTGAAACCTACATCACACCAGACCGTATCTCACGATTTCTGAATAATTATTTCCATAAACATATCTCAATATTCAGTCATTTCATGAGGGCTTGTTTTTATAAGCGCGTTTTGATGAATCAAATAGAATGAGAAAGTAAAGAGGTTAAACATAACCTGGTATCGTAGGATCTACCTAATCTATGGAATATTTCCATAATTGTATGTCAATATTTATTCATTTCATAACGGCCTGTTTTTATGCTGTTTGGTGGATCAAATCGCAGAAAACAGGGGAAACAAGGCAATGGATTGTGATTTACAAAAACCATGATCGCGAACCAGCTCCCATCCACAGATACATATTTTTAATAAATTATGACAGAGAATAAAGCAAGGCCATTTTAAAACGATTACGAGCGGAATAATATTTACTATAATCGGAAAGATAAGTGATCATTATCACGCTATACGACATGCCACTTTTTGGCTGAGTCCGCAGATGAACACATGTCAACAATCTTGTTTACATGTGAAAAACATCTATAGTTACTAAAATAATTGGGAGAAAAAAACTGAAACTTGTAATTCAACGCATTATGAAAATAGACATCGTGATTTTTGTGATGATGATTGTAGAAGGATAACAGACCTAATAGGATAAACTTAAATCCGATTTCGCTTTGATAAAAAATAGATTATCAATCAGTTATTTTTTAAACGAACTCGATGCTCCTGAGGAAATAAAGTATACTCGTTTAGCAAAGCTCTCAAAGCTAATCAACGAAATTCCGTCAAAGGGACAGTGTTATTTATTTCGTTTATACAGAAAAAAATTTCCTTATCTGGATTAAAAGGGTTAAAATACTGATTTTTACATTAATTAGCTCACACACACACATACACACACACAAAGAAAGAACTTTGGGCTTTAATCGAAATGTATAAAAGAATTGGAAACTTATTGATTCAAGAGTCGGACATAGAGATATTGAACAGACTGGAATTTAATTTTATATTTTATATTGTGAATTAACATTGGTTCTTTGCTTTTTCTTCTTTTAACAAACAGACATCCTTTTAAACCTGAATTTATAAAACTTCCTATCGTAACCGATTAAGTAAATGAAAATTATTGCGAACTTTCATTCAGGGCTGTTTTCCACTGTATCCGATGGTTTTAAGGAAATAACGTTTGCTCCGACAATTCCCCGGAGAAAAGGTCAAACAAAACAAGACCAATTAGGACGAAATCCAAGGAATTGAAACAGGCGGAAGTTTGAAATAAAAGAGACCTAATAAAATACGCAAAGCGGATCGATACATTTCTGATCGCAGGCCGCCATAATTTCTTTTACGATAACCAAACTTTCCAATTTTTTTTTTGGGGGGGGGGCAAACAAATTATTGACTAAGGACGGATCGAATTCCACAGCTTAACTCAAAAACAGTATGCACTAACGTTTTTATGGAAGAAACCGCAATGTTATTTTATTTGATACATAAAAAAAATATTATTTTACATACTGCAGTACTGATTTCTTTTTGTCATAATTTATTCTTTTTGTGATTCCATAATTTACTTTTTTGAAAAAAAATTTTTTTTTTTGCATAACGACAAATCGAGCGCTA